GCCCATTTCTGGTGTCCCCCGCCGTGATATTGTTGGAATATTGCTAAAAGCGGCGTAAAACCAAACTCAGTCAGTCATAACGTGACTGACCGCCTCCGTGTTGTAGTGGTTACAGTGTCCGCCCGGAGAGCGGAAGGTCGCGGGTTCGATCCCCGACCGCGTCATACCAAAGACGTTAAAAAATATGGTACTTGTTGGTCCCTGCCTGGCGCTCGGCATTAATGGGTACAACAAGGACTGGTCGGCTCGGAGTCAGTATAATGTGTCTGAGCGGGGTATTCATGCTTCACTGCGGCATGGTATCTCAGTGGACTAGCACTGTAAAACCAGCTTCAGTCTGGGCTAGTACAAGCAGCCGCACATACACATACACACGCATGCACGTCGTCATATGAGCGAAATATTCTCAAGCACAACGTTAAATCAAATTTCACCTCACCTCCTAACGTGACTTGAAACAGTGTTTTCAGAAACGGCATGCTCCTGCAGGATTTGAAGTGTAGAGAAGTTAGTTTGAAGAACTTGATAAATCCTCGACAACGGCAAGGTTTCTACTGGAATCCTGGGTTCAATTTCGGTGAAATATGGTAGATGTAATACGTATTCGTATGTTTGAATGTTCATACCAATAGCCTAAGAGCGGGGGGACAAAGGGATGCGGGATGAAGATTACAGAAGATGGTTTAGATAAAACATTTTACAAAGTCAGAAGATCGAATGAAATAATGTAGGCGGACGCAGCAGTAATTTAAATCCCATTTTAAATACAGCATGAAAGATTATGGGTCGTGTCTCAGAGCAACAAGTAAAGAAGATTAAAGGAAAATATTGCCTGACGTCAAATGTCAACTGGCATGATATTATGAGGTTTCGGTTTGAGAGTTTCTTTGGGTTTGGGTTTCTATGTTGATGTTCTCTGTGGTAACAAGATATGTATTCCATCTCGATCTGCATCCGTGGTGGTTGATGTGATACATACTAGGATTGTCCCTGTCTGTTATTACACAGGTGAAAAAAGTCCGGCTAGATGAATAAAGCCTAACAAGGGACGCATAAAACCCCATATACCCCTCATCACAGTGCTACAACTTATAAGACATGGTCTAATACAGGGGTTATACTAGTGTCCAAACAAGGCCTGTGCAGGGACTACAATGGTGTTTACACAAACTATATTGGGTCGACATACATGTAGGGTGACACGGGGACTATACATTGTCTACATATGGTCTTTACGGTGAATATACAAGGTCTTTACAGGATTGTTTATGCAAGGCTTTCAACGTCTAAATAAGACTGGGATATTGCTAAAAGCGGCGTTAACCCATACTCACTCACCCACTCCAGAAAAAGGGTTATTGAGCGGCAAAACGAGGACTAAAAGGGATCAAACGGAAGCTACACAGTTGACTATTCAGTATGCACACATTCCCCTAAAAAGTGGCATGTCATGCAATAACACTTTAAAACCATGTATTAGAATAATGATGTTGACGACAAACACTCAAAGTGTATGTCTGTAGAACATAACGCGAAAACGCATCTGATAGTTTGAACGTATCGTACGTTGTGGCGCCTCACATGTGCTGAGGGTGTCATTTTTTATTTAGACTCTTTTGAGGAAGGTCGTTTAATCTCTGTGGTCTATCATTTATATTGATCTCATTGATGCTGCTATTCATACATCATGATTAGCTACGTTTCATTCAGTGTTTGTCTGCGACGCGGAAAGCGTGTACCGGCTACTAACGTGATGGAAACTGGCAGAGGTCAACACGTTTCTGGTCTGTGATTAGCAGACTTAGTCACGGTCATGCCCAAAGTATTACAACCGACCTGTTCCGAGCGTCTCAGGTCAAAGACAAGAAGACGAGGTCGATTGATACGAACCCAGGTTCCATGAAATCGAGCTCAAACGGCGAATCAAATTGCTACAAGCTTTCATCAGACCAATGGAGTATGAGTTATGAGAAATCGTTTACATGCAACTCATCTCCATGCTCTGTGGCCACGTGCTGTGCAGTCCCTTTCAAAGCCTCATAGTGCAGACAGAGGTCAATAGTCTACGCAACTGGCGTGCTGGTAACAGTCACAGTGAGCTTCCTTGATACCTTTGGTCTGGCAACGTCTAAATGATCGACACGCCAATGTTTGGACCAACGCTTTGTCTTTCACTACATCAACGGAAGCGTTTATCGTGTATGAAACTTCAATGCTAAATTCCAGCACCACATCAACCAAGGAATGACATGATCAGAGATGAGCCCTTTTGCTCGTCGAAAACGTCCAGGGCATTATCTTGAGAAACGCTATAGACCGCCGACCACGTGGGTTGATCTCGGCCATGCGCTGCTAGAGGAGGGGGACAGGTTGCCTTCAATCGCTATATGATAACATGATTACATGGGTGACAAGTCGTGATAGTTTACTTCTGATCCACAAAACATCAATTTTGCAATCTTACCCCCATCGTCCTTCTCTAACTGTTGGTGCTCTAGCTCTTCCGTTTTGCATCACTAAAGGCTGTAATAAGTTGTCACTTCGTTCATTATTACCATACAACAATGACTAGGAACTAATATCTCTCACAATTTTCTCATATTTCTAAGCATCCCTTCTAAATATTATACCAGACACATATACAGTCATGGAACTAGATATGCCAAAAGCATGGGAAGATTGTTTTCAAATAGTGCGAGGACTAAGAATATGGCACAAGTTTAATGCGTAAACCCATTTCCAAAATTCTTATTTCTTACTTGTGACTGCTTTTGAATGTTTTAAACCTACCAATTAAAAAAAGTAAGTGGTACGCCCACCTTCGGGATAAGATGGTACCATCCCTACTTAATAAAGATTCAAAAACACAAGTCTATGGCAAAGGACTCCGCTTCTAAGCAGATATTTCTTATAGTATGAAATGGGTTCAACTTCCTTCGCTTCTTAAATGACTGCAATCAGTTATGTTGACCATCTGCACGTTGTCGAATTCAAGAATGTGTTAAACATGCAGATTCTGTTTGTGAAGGAAGGGGTGGGGAACAGTTTAGGGCAGGACATGTTACCCTTTTGTACACTGATTGCCAGTGATCATTCATCGATGTATTTTTCTCCCGTTTAACATTTTAGGCATGATGAAATCTGTTTCCGCTGATAAACAAGATTGATTAATGTTATTACATGTGAGGAAGGCGTGATATTTTTCATCAATATTTCTGCTCGGTTTGTTACAACGTTGCCAAACTGGCAACAAACTGGATACAAATTTCTATCTATGCTTCCGTAAAAAGTCTTCGTAAAGTTACGTTACCCCGGGAAAGATTGCCGTAATTTAAAGTGTTCTGAAGGACACCAACATCCAATTATAAACACCGTAGCTGCTTTTTGTTTATGCATTGTTATTGTTGGTTTATACATTTATACATGTTGCTAGACAAATCTATTCCACATTTTTACTTTGAAGCAGCTGAATCTCTGTATTTCTGAACAGCGGTAACTGGAAATCAACAACTGAATTTCATGCTTCATCGACCATTTGTCTGGTTTCGTTGCAGGTCGCCATCACTTGGAAGGAAAGCTAAAAACAGCGTCGGGTCCTAAATGTTTACTTTTTGCAGAAAACTTGAATGGCGGCTGCTACCGGTAGGGCAGAACATGCTTAGCCTTTTCAAGAACACCTGGTGTCATCACTGATTTTCAGTGGTTCTTTCATATAATTTTCATAGCGATTTTGCCTGTTACATCAAATGGAATATGCTTCTGGGCATAGTCGAGAATGGTATTCCTTCCCACTGACGTTTTATATATTCATAAGTGTATCAAAGATTGACAGACGAAGACTAAGCAAATGGTCAAATGGTTCTTCATATTTGATACGATCGACATGCATATTAGAAAACAGTATTTATCTTTGACACCTAGTTTGATTAGTACTTTCACACATTGTGAAAACAGCACCACACAAATATTTACAACATGCAAGCACAAAGATCGGGTGTGTGTGGTGTGACAAATAATAAAAGTGGAATTTCATACTTTCGAAAAAGCTCTACAAATCCGATAAAAAGAATGTTGCGCGGTTATATGATAGCTTCACTTTATACCTGACACCTGGCAGTCAGTATGAAATATATGACTGAATACATTGGTTGATTAATGTTTCTTTCCCAGGATTCGAAACAGCAGCATGTCATCACAGGCAACGTGTTAAACTTTAGTCGACGGATTGGTTCGATAATTTTGATCTATACATCTGCTGTACAAGCCTCTAGTTGCTCATTAAAGCGGCAACTGCAGGCGATGATTTGACCGTAACATTATCGGAAAACTTCTGCTTGCTGTTAAGCGGGGCGATAGCTAAGGTACTCGGGGTCTCTTACTAGCATACTACAATGTAAATGATAGTCACATAGTAAAGATATAGCTAAACTGATAATGATAATAACACATCGTTCACCATACGCCGTACGCCATGCTTTGGCTACCGAAACCAAATGATATGATTCTCAGAGATATATCTAGAAACACATCTGCTGATTTCAAAGATGTAGCTTTATTCAATCAATGTATATCAAGTATCTGTAACAGCTGTCATATTTGCATAGTAAATAGAAGAAGTAAATAGGTTTCAATAGTGATCAAAAGCTACATGCGCAAAAATACTGATAATTTCGACCACTTTTCATGTGACGATGTTTGATATTTTCTAAAAACACTTTCAGTTCTGACAATGAATATTCCTAATCTATATTATGCTTAAAACTGTTAAATGTAACAGAGTTGTCATATTTATTAAAATGCAACACAGGTGTCATGTTTATCAAAACGTAACATAGTTGTCATGTTTATCAAAACGTAACACAGTTGTCATATTTATGAAAAAGTAACACAGTTGTCATATTTATCAAAACGTAACACAGTTGTCATGTTTATCAAAACGTAACACAGATGCCATATTATTAAAACAAGCCTAGTCAAAACCAAAACTATTCCAGACTTACCTTGCAGGTACCTGATGAGAGCACACATAACGGCTCCAAACACAAAGTCCTGCAGCAACAACGGTATCAACGTGAACGGCATGCAGAATACAGCCAGGAGAAGATCACTAATTGCTAAATTCAGCAAGTAGACATTGGTAATGGTTCTCATCTTCTTGTGTTGGAAAAGCGTTAAAACTACTAAAGAGTTTCCCACGACTGACAACAGAAAAATCACAGCATATGGTATGCACATTTCCAGTGAAATCCCTCGATGAGGAATTTTAAAATCTATACAACTGTTAAATCTTGGGTCTGACATGATGAGAGCATTTTCCTCCGCGGAAACAGGTGTCCTTCGTGAAATATTGTGACAAAATGCCTCTGCATCACAAGTTGTACAGTTATCCATAGTTTCTGCCTGTGGAGTTTCTCCGGTAACAATAACTTCCACAGCTATGCTTTCAGCGCCGTAGCTCCCAATGACTGAACGACCATATGCAGGCCGACCACCTCTTGCACTGACTATTTCATATCGATTATTGTCCGTTTAAACTTGCAAGGTGCGGGGTATGAAACTTTCTCTCCGAGTATTCATCCGCGTTGGTTCCAGACAAACGGATCCTTGCACGAAACACTCAGAAAACACATTTCAAATAAATACTTGTCAAGATGTTTTTCCGTTACATATGACTCCATATGGTGTAATGCTACTTTTCAGATTCTTCACGACTTGAACGACGGCTCCACCAAGCTGCAAACAAAAGCAATAAACATTAGTTAAACACTTATGTATGACACACGTGAACTATACTGGTATAGACTGGGAGAGGGGCAGTGGACCACCTAACGTGCGCGTATCCATGGCAAGACTGACGTAAACGGTGAGATTTTTTTAATAACAAACAGCTGGGTCTTGTTGTTGTTCACGGCTGAGCAGCGAAACCATCACAAAGCTTGTATACATTTCCAGATTATAGCTAATCAAAGAGACTTCATCAAGAACATCCCTCAGGAGACGATGGGTATTGGATATCTCTAGAGGAAGTATTGAACGTATAATTAGGATATACTGAAGTAGCTTTCCAGTGATGTTCGTTACCGTAGGTCAATATTCGACAGAGGGGATTGCTTTGCGGCGCCTGTAGTCCAGATTACTTAAAGTGATCCTGAGAGTTGACCAGTAGTGGACAGTGGACGTCTTCTAACCTTTTTGAGAGATTATCACGAAGGCAAGCAAGAAAATCGCAGTAGCAGCTCTATATATGTGTGTTATGCTTATGAGCCCAGCAACGTTTCATTGCTGTAACTGCGCAGACTGACATAAATTATGCAGACTGTATAACAGCTTGCTACAATGGACTATGTAGTAACGACTCGACACATGGTGGTGTACATTTGTGCGACCGTAACATACTTCATCGAGTGTAAATTCGTGACGTGTTTCATTGAGTGGTTTTGTATTGTGAATATTGTAACACCTGTAACTGAAACAGGCTCTCGTAACACTCGGAGAACAATATCCTGGCCTTTGAGTGCATGAATATGTAACCCATTAATGTTTGGCCATTACACTGTCCTGGTCTCAAAGATGTCACGTCACGTAGGGGACACATTCGGAAAAGTAAGATTATATGGTGATTTGACGGAAGATATTTAAAGTTGAAGGTTGTACACTCTGTCTTTACACAGAACAGAAACAAACTGCACACAGTCTAATGCCCTAAAGTGCCCGTTACTACTACTACTACTAGTGAGTGAGTGAGTGAGTTGGGTTTTACGCCGCTTTTAGCAATATTCCAGCAATATCACGTCGGGGGACACAAGAAATGGGCTTCACACAATCTAGCCATGTGGGGAATCGAACTCGAGCCTTCGGCGTGACGAGCGAAAGCTTTAACCACTTCATTATGATTATATATATCAGTGGATCAGTCTGCTTTCGATTTCAATTCTCAGCTCCCAAGGGAGAATACATATTAGTGCCGGATTACAACCGACGAACTGTGCTGACAGTAAAAAAAACAACAAGAAAAAACCCAACATCTTTCGTATCTGGGAAATATTGTGATAGTGAGAACCCATGCAAGAGAATGTATACAAATAAAGGACTTAGTATACAAAAGTATGTTTGATTGTCGCCAAATTGACACAAAAAGATTTGGCTTTTCGATGGTAACATATTAATATAATACGGTTGTTATCGATGCGTTGGCAATATAGCATCGATTCCATAACGCGTTCATGGTCAAATCAAGTGCTAAATGTATGCTTTTAGTATTCGTACCGCTGAATGTGACGCAATTTCAGAATGGTGTGTGCCCCATGTTATAGAGATCGCACGGTATATACGTTCGGAAACAATTAGTTGTAATATAAATGATATCTTACCCATCCTAAAATCGCAGTGGTTTAGCTTCGAATCGACATACATTTCGTCTATCTATTCTCATCATCACAGTATCGTACTGATGCATAACACGATGTCATTTGTGACGTCATCCGATCTTTACAAACGTTTCCGTTATACCTGAGGATTATCAAGACAAAAGCGATCATAATAATAGATAAGACCTAAGAGTCAGAGAGTTTTAGAAATACTCCAGCAATATCGAGGCGGGGTACACCAGAAATGGGCTTCACACCTTGTACCCATGTGGGGAATCGAACCCGGGAGATAAGACCTAAGAACATTTATGAACACTCCCAAAACAAAGTTTCGACACAAGCCTTTGACCGGAGCACGACTAAAGTAACTTGCATTCTGGAAAGTAGTCCATCATGATCTGACTTAAGGCCATCACCATTGAGTAGCCAATCAATATTCGTTTTCATACACGTTTGATATTACATGGATTTCTCAACAGCTGTGTAAGAAAATAAAGTTATACAGAGTTGCTATAGCGGGCTGGTAAGCATTTATTCAACTGCAGGTAACGATATCAACGGCTGACATTGTGTAACGGTCATCAGAAACATATGTTACATCTGTTAGACGCGTTCAATTCAAAACTCAGTCGCGGTGAATAATGCCAAGCCTTAAACATATTGATTTATCACGACTGGTTGTTAATACATTTCGCCCGTAGGGTTGTCATTCCGCTTATATGAGCTAATATCGTTTTTTTCAGTTTAGAACAGCTCTCAATAATTACTGTGGTTGCTCCTAATGATATCGGGAGTCATATCAATTCACGTGTCATTGGGTACACCTGTCGTACTTCCGACAGTACAAAACACGGTAAATGACATCGTGTTATAATTCAAACTTAATTGTCTGTGAATAGGCTTTATCATTAACATGTGGTTTTGGTTGTTCAAAATCTTTAAATTTATACTGGGTCTTTCATAGTCTGCCTCCACTCCCTAAACAGCCTAACCCTCCCTGCAATGGTAAAGCCCTGTGTCAATCAAGTCCAGATATCCCAAGGTCCTGAATCTCTGGTCTCCATGGGGCTCCTTTTCTATTTAAATGGGTCTATCGGTTACAATCAAACCTTTATATATTCAGAGACTAAGCGTTAGTCTAGGCCTTTCACAATGTTCCTTTAAAAGTCAGATTGGTAATGGATCAAGCGCAACGTGAATGAATTGCCGTTGTTATAAGTAACCAGACATCAGACTGGCTATTGGTTTCCTTCCTAAAGCCACTCGAAGTTTCCCCTTGGGCACATCAGGTCATAAGTAGACATTGATCATGACTTGAATGAACAGCAACAGCTGAAGGACCAAGGTATTTCTATACATATCTGACCGAATTTGGTTTTGACGTATGGAGGTTACATATATTAAATCAGCACCAAAAGGTTTTCTTAAGTCTGTTTACCACATGTACTTTGAACGACAGTGAAAATAAGGTAAATAAAGAATGTTTATCTGTAAGTGGTCACGTTTTAAGCCTTTCGCTAACATCTTGTGTCATCAATGATCATAGTAGATAGAGGGTGTTTGCCTAAGAGCGGTAAAAGTTTTTCTCAGAAAAATTATGGTTCCTATTTTCAAATTGATGAAGCCACTGCCAATATCAAAACGAAAGAGCATGTTTAGTCGAAACGATCGTGCATCGTGTTACTTATACTGGAATATCCTTTTAGCTTGATTTATGGAGTGCCATCGACCTTTCCTAAGATACCTGATTTTCAATACTACAACTGGTGTAACCTTTCGCAAATTACGTGCCATGGCCGAAACCTCTGAAGGATGTACAGTGCACCCACAACAGTGTTCATACATGTAAGCTGTGTCTTACTGCCTAAGGTTACTTGATGCATCTGAATCAAATACACAACCATGCATCACTGTGATGAGGCGTTCTCTATTGGTAAAAATGAACAGGCTACTGCGCTGCCATCAAGTATCTCCAACTGAAACTCTCAACAGCCATTCATGCAGACATGGTGTCGTTACCTTGTCGCTGTTAAGATGTGGGCATTGGAGATCAAGAGGGGAAGATTGAGCCTCGAAGATGATCCAAGATTGGAAAGACTTTCAACTGCCACTAAATGTTGATAAACCAGATATGATCATGGATGATCGCCAATAGCCAACATAGCCAATACAGTAGACATCTCTCGTGAGATATATGAGAACATTCTGAAGAATGAATGTAGCACATATTTGGGTTTCAAAGCTTCTAACTCTTGACCACATAGGCTCCTGGCTCCCCATCTTCCCCGTGCTTGATGAAAGGTAGTATGTAGTTTTAAGCTGACCGCGTGATTTTGTTCAGCTATTTTAACCGTGGATGAGTCTAGTACTCGCCACGATTTGCCAGACGCTAACCAGTCATAGCTATGTGAACACATAACGTCGATTTATAAGTGATGGTGTTTGTATTCTGGGATTCAAAACGAAGTTATGGACAACTTTCCTAAACCTCAGAATATATTTCGCCAATGATATTCTGATCTGCTTTAAAAAGCAGGTTATCACGTGTTTGGTTACTGATTTAGAGTTCATTGTCTGCACTACATTCCGTGGAAGTCCTGGTTAGATGTTGTCTTCAGCAGCTCATGCCTGTCATAAGATACCCGGTAGACTTGGTAGCGTTGTGCAACAATGCAACATTCAAGATTCAAGATTCTTTATTTGTAGAGAAGGCCACATGACACACCCAGAGCAGACATAAGGAATTTTGCCAAAGTTAACAATGTATTATGAGAAATGACAATAAAATGATAGGTAGAAGACGATCGAACAGTTCGTGTTGCTCATTTCCTATACCTTTACGATGTTAGCATACAGATAATTCACCTTTTCCACCAAAACTACTGTTTCCAAATGCCTGTCGTAGCTGTAAAGTCACTGATGGGCAGTTGTGTGGTATTTTGGACTTGTACTGGAATGTACCTGAAGCCTCTGATACAGAGAACGTAATGGACATTTCTTTTTTCTTGTGGAGCACAGTGGTGTAGTGGTTAGCATGCTGGCCTCTCACGCAAAAGGTCCGGATTGGAATCCCGGTGGAGACACCAAAATTTGTGACCTGGGTCTCATACTGTGTTATGTCCCTGGGCAAGGCACTTCGTTCACATTGCACTCAGTCCACCCAGCTGTTTAAAATGGGAACCTGAAAAGCGGATGTACGGACCTATACGGTCGCGCTTAGCGCTTAGTAGCAGCTTTGAAAGTACAATTCTGTCAGCGTAATAATGTAACGCCAGAGAACAGAATCGCGTTGGATTCTAGGCGCAAAAAAATAGCAATATTATTATTATTATTATTATTGTAAAGGGGAGCGAGTTATTGCCTCTCCTCAAGCTGCAAGAAGACCAGCATTGTATGTGATGATCATACATTGGATATTCACCGCTTAGCTCTTTTTCCAAGTTAGATTACTGTTGCAGAGAGGTGTATACTATTACTATAGTATTACTATTGTTATATTTATTGCTATAGTCGAAACGGTTTACATTACCTCTGAATTTGTTACTATTTTCTACTGACACGGTGATGTGAATGTATCCAATTTCAGAATTTTATGACATCACATTTCTTTTGGCCCTGTATAAATGAATTTTTTTATGATGATGTATTCAGCACCTCATACCTGTTATAAGATATCAGATGACCAGGTTCGCAGAGTTGATAGTGTTGTAGTTCATTTATTACTATTTCAGTTTTTCGTTTCAGCTTGGGAAGTAGATGCCTATCATCGTATCCGAATTCCGTAGATAGATGCTCATGATATCAATGACTTGATTGCCTGGTTCAGACTTAATTATTTACAGACCACCCTCTTATAACTGGCATATTGCTGAGTGCGGCGTAAAACTAAACTCACTCACTGATTTTAATGACTGGATTCCCTG